TGGGCGGCTCGGCGGCAGGGCGGCTCGGCGGCTCGGCGGTAGGGCGGCTCAGCGGCTCTGCTGCTCGGCGGCTTGGCGGCAGGGCAGCTCGGCGGCAGGGCGGCTCGGCTGCTGGGCGGCAAGGCGGTCCGGCGGGTGGGCGGCTCGGCTGCTCGGCGGCTCTGCTGCTGGGCGGCTCTGGTTCAGGGCGGCGCGGTGGCCGGGCGGCTCGGTGGTTCTGCGGCTGGGCGGCTCAGCGGCGTTGGTTCAGGGCGGCGCTTCGGTCAAAGGTTGGGCAGCGGGTGGGCCGCAAGTAGGGCGCCGGTGGGCCGCAAGTAGGGCGGCGGGTGGGCCGTAAGTAGGGCGGCGGTAGGGCCGCAGGCAGGGAGGCGGTAGGGCCGCAGGTAGGGCGGCGGTAGGGCCGCAGGTAGGGCGGCGGGAAGGCCGCAGGTAAGGGCGGCAGTAGGGCCGCAGGTAGGGCTGCAGGTAGGGCCGCAGGTAGGGCGGCGGTAGGGCCGCAGGTAGGGCGGCAGGAAGGCCGCAGGTAAGGGCGGCTGTAGGGCCGCAGGTAGGGCTGCAGGTAGGGCCGCAGGTAGGGCGGCAGGTAGGGCCGCGGGTAAGGGCGGCACGCGACGTCGATAGGGAGGCGCCGGGCCGTGCGGCGACGGGCCGGGACAAGCGGCGCGAGGGCGCCGACGGGCCGGGAAGGGCGGCGCGAGGGCGCCGACGGGCCGGGACGAGCGGCGCGAGGGCGCCGACGGGCCGGGAAGGGTGGCGCGAGGGCGCCGACGGGCCGGGACGGGCGGCGCGAGGGCGCCGACAGGCCGGGAAGGGCGGCGCGAGCCGCAGGGAAGGGGCGGCGCGAGCCGTAGTAAAGGGCGGCGGGGCCGCAGGTAGGTCGTGGGGAGGCCGCTAGGGCGGCTCGACGACGTAAGAGCCCGGAGCGCGACTCGGGCCGATCGCGCTTCGGGTAGGAAAAAAAAATGATCGATGTGGTGGGCCCTAGGCACAGTTCCCACGAGGGAACCTGCTCGATACCATGAGGAAATTAGAACGAGAAAGATGTGAACTATGAATGAAGGGAGTACATATATAAAACCCTAGTTGGGTTGTACCCCCTATGGGATACCCCACTATAGCCTACACAATAGCATAAGCTATAATGTTATGACAGAGAACCCCTGCATGGGTTGGCTGGGCAAACCGCACCCGCTTTGTTCACAACTAGGCCAAAAATATGAGGTGGTGGCAGAATTTGGTGACAACTATTCATTACATCATATGCTAAGCCAATCATAGTGCGCAGTTTTGACAGCAATGAGAAAATTCAGCCTATACAGCAAAACAGTCCGAGCGGCAAGGCGGGTAACTGAGTGCTGACAGTGAAAACCAAGGTGCCAAACTTGGCGAAATTGCATGAATCACGAAGTTTTCAGTTTCAGGGTTGAACACGATAAAACACTGATTGATCAGTGACACAACAAGCAAAACATTGATTGTTCAGAGTTGGAATACTAAAAACACTAAAATTACAAAGTTTGAAAAAAAAGGGTGAAAGTTCAGGGCCAATAAAAAAAAACACCCTAACAATCAGCCAAATCATGGAAAAGATCCAGACTTCTGAGGCCCTGCACAAATCGCATACCATATTTTGAAATGCTTAAATTGTATTGTTTCTTATATCAGTTCTCAAGTACTTTGGTGTTCCACGCTTTGCTAATAGATACTTTGCTATTTTGTACTTCTTTGTTATTAAGTGAACCGTATTCCAAGTATTCAGAAATAGTATACCAAGTATTTGGAATTCACTCAAGATATACAAAATGAGAGCTGCACATATAGTTGGAACTGATTGATTATGGAAAAAAAAAAATGTGTAGCATAGGGGGTGTGTCAAACTTAATGTTTGTGTTCTATATGTCAGAATGAGAAACTGCGAAATGAGTTAGAGTAGCAAAAATTGGGTACAAATAGCTAACCCTAACTAGCTGTACTCCCTACAGCATGCTTTACTACAGTCGAGCATAAACACACATGTATAGTTTGAGACACCCTCAGAGGCAAAGTGGCGGATGGCAAGAGAGAGCAAGTACAACAAATGGTCTTAAGACCAGTCAAGAGAAGAAACAAAACAAAGCTCAAGATGGATCTCACGATCACCACACAATCCGAGCACAAGCAAGCGGCCACAAAACCAGCCCACATGAATTGTTATAGTAGCAAGAGCAGTACAATGATCACAACTAAGCAAGTGTAGACATTCAAATATAGATATATATAAAAATGCAATAAATACAAGCCGAGATTAAGAGACAAGCAAGTGAGGCAAAGCTGTCAGTAGTCCAGGAGCTGTGCAGAAACGCTGATGTTCACTAGGCCCAAGGGCCTTGGGTGAAAATATCAGCGGTGTTGGCCCTGCGGCCATGTAAGCAAGGCGAACCTGACCTCGATGCTGCAACTCTCGCTGGAGAAAGTAACGAAGCGTAGTGTGCTTTGTTTTGTGCTCGAGTCTCTTACCCTGATAGAAGACGGTCATGGCCTTGTTGTCAGAGTACCGGTGCAGAGCAAGACCGCTCACCCTTGTCGTGAGCAACTAAGTCAGCCAGCGTAAGTTCTCCACAGCTGTAGCCCTAGCGTACATCTCGGCCTCATAGCTAGAACTGGGTACAGAAGGTGAGAGAGTGGACCTCTATAAGACAGCACCAGCGCCAGCAACAGCACTAAGGCTGAAACTGTAGCCCTGTGACGACCAAGAAGTCGCCTGGTCGTCAGCCCATGAAGCAAAAGAGTGCCATGTGAGCACAACTGATGTACTGGCCAAGTAGCACAGCACCCATTTAGGAGCCGACCAGTGCTCAGGTCGATGTCTCCCGGGCGCAACGTATCGAGTCAGGTAGCTGAGAAGTACACGAGATCAGGCGAGTGCACGTCATCAGGTATATGATGCAACCCATAAGCTCTAGATACGGACCACTAGGCTCTACGGACTCATCCGAAGGTGAAGCTGAGAGTGTATGGCCTAAGACAGATGAGTGGGCTGTGTTGAGGAGAACTGAAAGCAGAAGCGCTTAAGTACCTGCTGCTCCATGTATGACTGAGTCAGAGTGATGGTGCGTACTACTCTATCCCGGATGATCTACAATCCGAGATAGGTTCGCAGTTCACCCAGATCAGTGCAGGTGTGTCTCTTCCACAGCTCGACCTTCATAAGGGCCAGTGCCTCATTGTCAGCAGTCGCAAAGACTAGGTTGTCGACGTACACGAGGAAGTAGAACAGCGACAAAGTAGGGTCAACCGCAGAAACAGAGACGGGTCAGCAGTCCAAAGAGCAAAACCAAGAGCGGCATGTGTCGTCCTCAATGTGTCGTGTCAATCGCGAGGCGCCTGGCCGCCCGAGACTCCACTGGCTCAGGAAACGACCTAGTGAAGCCAGGTGGGCTGCGCAACCAGTATGATGCCCTTCAAAAAAGTTGTCGAGAAGACGAGCGAGTAGAGCTCGTGGTCACACTGTGGGGCAACGAGAAGTAACACCCGAAGGGTCGTCATCTTTGGGTTGGGGGAGAAGGTCTGGAAAAAGTCCACCCCCTCATGCTAACTGAAACCTCGTGCAACGAAACACGCCTTGTAAGACAGGCGGGGAACTCGACCGCCGCTTCACCCTGAAAATTCACATGCCATCGACAATGTTCGCCCCAGGAGGGGGAGTTGCGTCGACCTAGGTGCCAATCGCCTTCCGTGATGTCATATCTGCTTCCATAGCTGTCGTCCACTGAGAGGAGCAAGGACCCACGATCGCCTTTGCATAAGAGCGCGGGGTCGGGATGTCTTGTGCATCCGGGTCTCCCTCAGGGGCAAGAAGCATGGCAGCGAGATGAGGTACAGCAGCTACGAGGTACTCCAACTCGAACTGCTTGTCCTCAAGGACGTCACAACCAAGGGCAGGCTAACCAGACGGATGCAGGACAAGCAGAGCCAGAAACCAGACTCGCGAGGTATTCAAGGCAGCAAGTAGCAGCAAATTGAGTGAGCTCAATGGCCAAGGCACACGCAACAGCAGACGGAAAAGTAGGGCCCGTCACAAGTGTGCCAAGACAATGAGTGACAGTCAGACTGGCAGCACGAGCACGGTTAGGCACAAGGCTAGAAACGTCAGGTAGAGAAGACGGGGGAGGTAACGGCACGAGAACAGACTGCAAAACAGTGGAAGGGCAAAGTGTCACGGCGTGAGTACAAGGATCAGGTGGAATTCCAGTACGAAGACGACGGGTACGAGCAACAAGTGAGGTAGCTCGAGACACAGGCTCTCTACGCTGAGTCAAGGAGTGGGTCAACGGAGAGTAACAAGGAGGAGCAGGAAGAGGAGAGTCAGGTGGTAACTGTGCCTGAGACAGGTTAGGCGACTGAAAATGTAAAAGAGGAGTAGTACCAGTGGTAGATGGCTCTGCAGAGAGAGGCGTAAGACTGAGAAGGTGGTGAAGCGCCGACCTAGGTAGCGGTAGCGACAACTTCGGCTGCTCTCGTTGCTGTAGTGGCTGCAACGCACCGCCATAACTATGCAGGTACATGTGAAGGTGAATGTAACTCTATGTATGTACAGGTGAAGGTCATATGGTAACACTATGCAGGTGTGGCTCAAGGTTTTATGGTAACACTTTGCAGGTGCAAGTGAAGGTCCTCAAGCCAAGACTCGAATTCGATCGAGCGCCCCTTTGCGTCAAACGTGAGCACAGTAATTGTCGCCATGGCGGACACTAGGTCAAGAGGTAGTACTGAGAGCTAGTGGCACAGCAGTATGGCTGTGTGGCAGCAGGCAGGGCGGCAGTGCAGCAAGGCTCGACGGTAGGCAGGGCGGCGCGGCTTGGCGGTAGGCAGGGTGGCGCGGCTCGGTGGCAGGCAGGGCGGTGTGGCTTTGCGGTAGGCAGGGCGGCAAGGCTCGACGGTAGGCAGGGAGGCGCGGCTTGGCGGTAAGTAGCACGGTGCGGTTCGGCGATTGGTAGCGCTGCGCGGCAGCAGGCGGCTGGCTAGGGGTGCGGCAGCGGGCGGCAGCGGCTTTTCGCGAGCCAGGTGCAGGCGGGAGTGGCAGCGAGCTGGGCCTCGCAGCGAGCGGTAGTGGGAAGAGAAGCGAGCGGTAGCAGGCAGCAGCGGCTCGCAGCAGCACGTGCACCCGCGAGCAGCGTATGAGCAGCGCACGGCTGCGCGCCAGAGCTCGCGGAGCAGCGCAGAGTGGAGCGCGCAGTGGCGCGCAATGTGGCAACGCGTAGAGTGGCAGCGCGAAGCGTCGGAATGCGCAACGAGCAGCGTGGGCGAGAGCAGCACTGGTGCACGTAGCAGCTGCAGTAACTCGTGCAGTAGAACGAGCAGCGCATGCAGTAGTAGGCAGTAGGAGCGGCAGCGCATGACAGTGGGGCAGTAATGCAGCTCCCGCACAGAAGTAGCAACGCGCAAAGCAGACTAGGGCAGGGGGAACGAACCTACTCAATGATACCATGTCAGAATGAGAAACAGCGGATTGAGTTGGTCAAGAGTTGAATAGAAATAGCTAAACGTAACAACCTGTACACCCTACAGCATGCCTCACTGCAGCCTAGCATAAACTTACATGTATACCTCGTACTCTTCCTCTTCCTTTTCTTCCTTCTTTCCTCCACTAATTCACGTTAGTGTTCTCAACCTAATGGTTCTCCCTTCGTTTACTGGCAGTTATTAAATGTTATATGCTGAATGTAAAGCTTAGATATGTTTCAGGAAATATGCATTGAGGTTTCAGCTGAAATTGGCTTGAACTAATGTATAGTAATAAATGTACAGCAATGGTATAATGTCTAAGCACCGGGGGTGAAATTGGTGGCATAGGCCTAGCGTTGTTGACGGTGGGGTCAGCCAGGTGGTCGCTCAGGTTCTCCAGGGGGCCCTTGCCGGTGATGATGGCCTGCACGAAGAAGCCGAACATCGACACCATGGCGAGGTGGCCGTTCTTCAGCTCCTTCACCTTCAGCTCAGCAAGAGCATCGGGGTCGTCGGCCAGGCCCAGGGGGTCGAAGGCACCGCCGGGGTACAGGGTGTCCTCAACCTTTAGGAAGCCCTCGAGGCCACCCACGCGGTAGCTCTCGACGGCACCCATGAGGATGACCTGGGTGGCCTAGATGGCCAAAATGGACTGCGCGTGGATCAGGCTGGGGTTGCCCAGGTAGTCCAGGCCACCCTCGGAGAAGATATGCGCGCCGGCCTTGAACCACACGGCCTCGCCAAAGTTCACGCCGTTGCCGGCCAGCAGCTCTGGGGTCAGGCAGCCGAGCGCGCCGAGCAGAGCCCAGCGAGCGTGGATGACCTGCAGATTTATAATCAGGCGAAACAACAGTGAATTCGGTCAGAACCGTGAAACGGTTAGTGTCGTAACGCAGCCAAGGTAAAGCTGTTTCGAAATTGCTCATATAAACATTGAAACGTGATATTTGCGTTGTTCATTCAGCAATAAATGTGCATCCGTGACAAATGCATCTTATATGTGATGTTAGGCTTACCTCCAGCTTGCGGTTCTTGGCGAAGGTCTCGGGGTCAGCGGACAGACCGGCGGTGTCCCAGCCGTAGTCGCGGGGGTACTCCCCGGTGAGATACGACGGGGGGGAGCTGAAGGGGCCCAGGAACAGGTTGCGGTCGGGGTCGTAGAAGGCGCTGCTGGAAGCCGCCTTGGCGGTCTTCCTCATCGTCACGCGGGCCTCGACATTGTTCACCTTTGCGGCGAGCTCAGCGCTCTGGCCGACGAAGGTGGACGGGAGCACAGCAGTGTTGGCAAGAGCAGCCATTGTGGATGTTTGAATCTCTCGAAGAAGTTGCGATGTGATAATCCTGAATGAAATGAAATCGAGTGCTGCTGCTTTACTGTGACTGACTGATGCCAGTTTTGAACTCGAGTGTGATGAGCTTGGGTCGGGTCGGGTCGGGTCGGGAGGGAGGGGGAGCGTTGTTGCGATTGGACCCTGACGCATCACGCACGCACCGCTTGGTTTCCAATCATCTGCGATGCTCCAATCTCCCAAACTGGTCGTTCCAGATTCCCACCATCCAAGATCAACCAATCAGTGTCAACAAAAATTCTCAGGAATTGGGCGATGGGTTGTGCTATTGGTGTAGTGGTGATGCTGTTTCGTGAAAATGTGTGCGATGTTTTGCTCGATCGTCAATCAGTCAAACACCACGGTGTGCAAACGGAGTCGACAACACAAATATCTCCAATCGTGGTGGGCAAGGTCGAATGCGGTCCAGCGATGTGACCACAAAAGGGAGGTGCTCGAATCTTATCTACACTATTACTGTGTTATATCTTAGTAAAACGATTCAAATCGTTTTCAACACACCGAACACTCATCACCGTGCTGCACTTCCTCCTGCGCTCGCAGATTCGAATTCAGCTATCAGTGGAGCAAGTAGGATCGCCACGTTCCCACACCCCTAGATCATGGCAGAATGTAGGACGGAAATCGCTGCTGCTACGGCGGCGGACGCGCTGTTTTATTTTAAAAAAACTCGAGTTTGCCATAGGCTAAAATAAAAAACGATTGTACGCCGACTCGGTAGCAGCGATGGGGAGCGTGAGTTGCGGGGTCGAGCGCATGGCGGGGAGGCCGTTGGCGGCACATGCGGTGAGGGTTGGAGCGACGCGCGGAATGGCGGACTGCTGGCTGTACCGCGCCGCTGCTCAGCTCGGCGCGCTCTGCACGCGCTCTGCAGCCTGCTGTGTGCCACTCACCGCATCGGAATCTATACTTGTGTGTCAATCCAGATGCCATCCATTCCCTTGAGGTTTGAATGACATCGCTGGGGCAATTTTTGCAATGCCTAGGATTGGCGTCTTGCAATACACATTTGCAGCGTGTCACCTGTGAAGATAGTAGGTAGAGTTAGGAGCCATAGCTAGGTAAGTCCAAGCTAGGCAAGAGAAAGTTTAGGCAAAGAGAGGGGTTTTCACTAGCAGCAATGAGGATACATATAGCAAACCCTAGATGGGCTGTACTCGCTATAGAGAACCCCACTACAGGCTAGAGAATAACATTCTGACACATCCCCATAGCCAAAGTGGGGTGTAATCAGTACAATGAGCAAGCAGGTATAGAGCAGGAGTTCACAAAGGTAAGCAAAGCTAGAGCTAATCACAGCGGGCAAGTGAGGAGGAGGAGCTGTGGAGGTAGAGAAGATGGGAGGCAACGACTCAAGCTGTAGAGGGACGGGCACAGGAGCGGCTGACTCAGAGGCTACCAAAGCAAGGGTGACGGACTACTGGAGTAACAAGCTTGGCGGCTATAGAAGAGCGGCAAGAGCAACGGACCCACTGGCGACAGATAGCTACCCCCGACCTAAGTAGCTCGCCCCAGCGAGGGATCTCAGTGGCGCTAGGGAACTGGAGACGCCAAGTGCGTCAGGCGGCCAAAGCAGCGCTAGGTGGTGTGTGGGCCACCGCACGGCTCACCAGTGCGATCGCCGGTACGCAAGACGTAGGCACAGGGACCAGCACCCCCACCCCGCTGACGCGCAGCGTACCACTCACGAAGCTGCTTGGGGGGCGGGGTCTCACGAGTGCGCTGCTGCTGCTGGCGCTGACCACCATTGAAGCCGCCCCGCTGCGCAGAGCCACCCCGACCAGCTCCACCGCCGCCGCCGCCACCTCCGCCGCCGCCGCCACCGCCACCTCCTCCGCTTCCACCGCCACCACCGTCGCCGCCTCCGCCTCCACCGCCGCCACCGAAGCCCCCACCCCCGCCACCACTCCCACCGCCACTCCCACCCCCTCCGCCGCCTCCAACGCCACCTCCACCGCCCCCGCCAGCTCCTCCAGCGCCCTTGCCCCCCTTGACCTTGCCGGTGCGGCGTCTAGAACTAGAGGCAGATGGAGCGCCGACCGACTCGGTGCCAACGAGGTCGACCGCAGCAGCAGAGGCAACAGAGGGCAAAAGGGGGGAGGGGGAGCACCCCTCAAAGAAGGGGGTACGAGGGTTATCACGAGAGGCTCCTACAGCGACTATACTCTTCTCCGCTGCCACGAGGCGCTCCCCGAGGAGGTCAACAGTGAGTGTGGTGGGGCAAATTGAGAGGAAGTGGTCCCTGACTGAGCGAAGGGAGTCAGGGAGCTGGGTGACTATGTAGTAGAGGGTGATGTACATGGGGGGTGTTACGAAGAAGAAGTGATTGCACTATGAAAAATGGAGTACAAGTAGGAAACCTTAGCTTTGTGTACCTCCTTAAGGCTAACCCACTATAGCCTACACAACAATAACACATATAGTGTTTGACACCTCCATAGGCAAAGTGGGGGAGAGCAAGGGGTCACAAGACCAGTCAAGAAAGGCAAGCAAGCTCAGGGTGGATCACAATGTCACCACACACTCCGAGCAAAAGCAAAGGGCCACATGGCCAGTTCACATGCAGAAGTATATATAAGTAGTACAGACAGCAAAGGTGATCTCAGCCCAGCAAACAGGCAGGAGTATATATAGAGATCATAGTACAGGCAAAGCCTACAACAAGCGAGGCAAAGTGGGTACCAGCCCCAACAAAGTACAAAAGCGCTGATGATTACCAGACTGAAGTGCCTTGGTGAATATATCAGCGGTGTTGGCCTGAGAGGCCACGTAGCGTAGACGAAGCTGACCACGCTGCTGCAGCTCACGAGCAAGGAAGTAACGGAGAGCGATGTGCTTCGTTCTGTGCTCCAAGCTGTGCTCCTCACACAAGGCAATGGCAGCCTTGTTGTAGACGTACAGCACTGGAGGAGAACTAGGCCGCTCTCCAAGGTCGGTCAGAAGGTAGGTGAGCCAGCGTAACTCCTGTGCAGCCATGGCTGTGGCGTAGATCTCAGCCTCACAATTGGAGCTGAGAACTGAAGACGAAAGCGTAGACCACCGCGAAACTGAACCAGAGCCAAGGCTGAAGGTGTGACCCTGTGACGACCGCTGAGTAGCCTGGTCGTCAACCCAAGAAGCGTCTGAGTGCCCAGTGAGAACAACTGAGCTCCCTCCTCCAAGAACGAGCCCCATACCTGATGTACTGCACAAGTAGCGCAATACCCTCTTTGCAGCATCCCAGTGCACCTTTCGGTGACGACCAGGAGCCATGTAGCGAGCCAGAAGGCCAAGAGGGTATGCTAGGTCAGGACGAGTGCAAGTCATCAGGTACATAAGGCAACCAACTAGCTCTGGGTAAGGACCACTCGACTCTACGCACTCATCCGAAGGCAGAGCTGAGAGCGAGTGACCTATAGCCAGAGGAGTGGCCTATGCTAAGGACCAGGTGAAACCGAAGCACTGAAGGACCTGCTGCACCATGTGTGACTGAGTCAAGGTAATGGTGCGGCGTGCTCTATCTCGGGTGATCTGCAAGCCAAGGTAGCTGCGCAGTTCAACGAGGTCTATGCATGTGTGTCTCTTTTGCAGCTCTGACTTCACGTGGGCGAGAGACTCAGTGTCAGCTGTGGCAAAGACCAAGTCCTCGATGTACACGAGGATGTAGAACGGCAGCAGCGAAGTGTCGGTGCGTAGAAACAGCGACGGGTCAGCAGTAGAAGGCGAGAACCCAAGTGCCGCAAGAGTAGTCCTCAGTGTGTCGTGCCACTCACATGGCGCCTGGCGGAGACCGTAGAGTGGCCGCTGGAGGCTCTACTGGGTACCAGAAGGAAACGACCCAGTGAAGCCAGGAGGGCGGCGCAGCCAGATCTCCTCGTGTAGACTGCCCTGCAAGAAAGCTGTGCTGAAGTCAAGAGAGTGAAGCTCATAGTCGCGCTGAGCAGCAACATGCAGTAGTACCCGAAGAGTGGTCATCTTTGGGGTGGGGGAGAAGGTCTGAAAGAAGTCTACTCTCTCTTGCTGACTGAAGCCTCGAGCAACGTAACGAGCCTCGAAGACAGGCGGAGAACCCGGCGGCCGCTTCACCCTGAAAATCCACATTCCACTGACGATGTTCGCCCCAGGTGGGGGAACCTCGTCGACGTAGGTGCCTGTGGACTTCTAGGAGGCCATCTCTCCGTCCATGGCTGACTGCCACTGTGAGGAGTAGGGACCCTCAATCGCCTCAGCGTACGATCGAGGAGTCGGGATGTCTAGTGCATCCGGGTCTCCCTCAGGGGCAACTAGCATGGACACAAGATGGGGCGCAGCGGCTGCAAGACACTCAAGATCCTCCTGTCGGTCCTCAAGAACGTCCGTGCTAAGAGCACACTCACCACCGACAGACGGAGGACAGACAGACTCAGACTCAGCAACAAGACTGGCAGCGTAGTCTAGATGACAGCGAGCAGCAAAGTCGACAAGCTCAGCAACTAGGGAAGACGCAGCAGCAGACTCAAACGAAGGGTCAGCGAAAGCAGTGGCTAGGAGGCGCCTGACAGTAGGACTGGCAGCATGAAGAGAGTCCGACTCAAGGTCAGCAAGAGCAGGAAGAGAGGACGTAGGAGGAGACGGCGAAGGGACACGCTGTGGAGCAGTGTAGGGACGGAGTGACACCCGGTGTGTGCCAAGGACTGGTGGCGGACGCTCACCAGCAGCTCCAACGCCCGGGTCCGCAGCACCAGCAGCTGCCCCAACTCCAGGGTCCGCAACACCAGCAGCAGCTCCAACTCCCGGGTCCGCAGCACCAATAGCAACCCCAACTATAGGGTCCGCAGCACCAGCAGTAGCTCCAACGCCCGGCTCCGCAGCAGCAGTAGCAGCTCCAACTCCAGGGTCCGCAGCACCAGTAGCAACCCCAATTCCAGGGTCCGCAGCACCAGTAGGAGGGTCCGCTACACTAGGAGCGCCACTCCTGAGACTGCAGCGCTGTGCGTACCACTCACGAAGTCGCTGGGGAGAGGGCAGCTCCCGCCTAGGAGAGGAAGCACAAACACCAGCTATAGCAGCACTCCTAGCTCCAGAAGCACCTCTCCTAAGGCTGTAGTACTGTAAGTACCACTCACGCAGCTGCTGTGAGGAGAGAGCTCCTCCAGGCGTAGCACTCCCAGGCTCAGCATCCCCAGACTCATCACAAGTAGGCTCCGTACTCCCAAGCTCAGCACCTCCAGACTCCGCACCCCCAGTCTCCGCAACCCCAGGCTCCACACGCTCAGGCTCAGCACCCCGAGCAGGACGAGAGTCGACAGCTACCTCGACAGGCTCAACCGGGTCTACCTGAGACACACCTAAGGGGGCGGCACCCTGAGGGGGGAGGGGGTCTACCACAGCAGCACCTGGCGCGAGGAAGAGAGGCGGCGGAGGGAGCGGGGCAATGCGGTAGAGGAAGAGGGGGTAGAAGGGTACCGACTCGTCAAAGGTGACGTCTTAGAGGCGAGGACACGGCGCGAGGTGGGGTGGTAAAACTGCCAACCAGACGCGTCCGGAACAAAGCCTAGGAATACTCACGGGACAGCGCGGGAGGAGAGCTTGTCCGCGGACGGATCGCGAACAAAAGCTCGGGATCCCAAGACCCGAAAACGCGACGCATCATCAACCTCTCCCGTCCAACGTAGTGTCGGGGAGGTCTCCGGCAAGGAGACACGGGGCCTGAGGTTGAGCTGATGCGCAGCGTATCGGACCGCAAACGGCCACAAAAAGTGGGGGGCAGCCGCATGGATCAAGGAGGTACGAGCGACCTCCATGACCAAGCCAATGCGGCGCTTAGCAACCCCATTCTGCTCTGGAGAGGCCAGAAGCGTGAACGACTGGCGGATGCCGTGCTCCGCACAGTAGGCTGCCAAGAGGTCGGAAGAGAACTCACCACCTCTGTCTGAGTGCAAGCGCAGGACAGGAAAGTCCGAGTGGAAGCGCTCGCTGAGCTAAAGACGAGAAGCGCGGATCCAAGGGATCAAAATATCAGGGACCTCACCCTTGGTGCGCAAGGGGAAGACCGTGGTGTAGCGCGAGTAGTCGTCAACAACTATCAGGAAGTACCTCTCCAAACCCCGACCACGAATGCGGGCGGGGCCCCACACGTCCATGTGGAGCGTCGGCAAGGGAGCAGTCGTCGGGGGAAACGAGGAGGAGTGAGGAGCAGCGCGTTGCCGGCCCTCGACACAGGGAAGGCAGGGAGGAGCAGGCGAGGGTGGGAGGGGAGGGAGAACTCTAAAAAGACCAGACACAAGGTACCGTTTGTGCATTGCCCGAAGGCGCTGCACGGACAGGTGACCAGGTCGGTGGTGCCAGAGGACCGTCTCGTGCGCCAGAGAGCGGCACGAGCAGGGGGCCGATAGCTGACCTGACGCAGACGCAGACGCAGCTACCTGAGAGGACTCAGTAGTCAGTGTGTACAAGTCAGATCCCGGCTGCCAAGTGAAGGTCGCAAGGTGACGGCCCGTCCGAGCACACATGCAGTGTGTCACGCGCTCGTAGGCAGGTGTGAAGTGGTGGACACCACTGTCCTGTAGCGCACTACCCACCACCAAGTTCGTAGAGAACGAGGGGAGGTGGAGACCGGACAGTGGGCCCGATGGGACGGCCGGACAGGGGAGGACAGAGGAGGAGGTCGCAAGGACTGGACCCCCAGAGGGGTCAGCGAGAGAGACTGCAACAGGCCGAGCAAGCTGCTCAAGAGCCGTGCGGTCAGGAAAGAATTAGCGGGAGGCACCTGAGTCTAGTGTTAAGGTGTGCAGTGCCTCCGTCGACTCAGTACCAGGGGGCGCAGACGCACCAGCACCTAGAGCAGCAGCCTCACCAGCACCTGGGGTAGCAGACACTCTAGCACCTAGAGCGGCAGCCTCACCGGTTCGAATGCTCGGGTCAGGCGGAACACGCAGGTACTGGGCACCCTCTCCACTGATAGACATCACATACATGGCAGAGAGAATAGCATCAAAGTCTAGAGCAAAGATATCAATGTTTTGCTTCATCAGATCAGCCCACCAGGGCAGCTCAGTGACGTCAGGGAACTGAGTACGCCAAGCGTCGTCAAGGCGTGAGAAGCAGCGCTGCGTGGGGTGCGCCCTCCCACACGTCTGACCAGTGCGGTCACCAGTGCGGATGACGTACGTGCAGCTAAGGCCACCCCCCCCCCGTACTGAGGCTACCACTCACGGAGCTCCTGGGGCGACGGAGAGTGCTGCAGGCTCTGGCCACCGCCAGTGCCTCCACCACCACCACCGCCGCCGCCACCTCCTCGACCACTTCCTCCCCTGCCGCCGCCGCGTCCACCGCCGCCCCCA